CCTCGTCCCCCCCCCCCCCCAATAGGGTCATAGCAATTGTCATGTAAGGCTTTGAAATGCTTTGAGTTTTGATGTTATACACGCCAAAATCCTCAGGTACCCAAGACAAACGTTGATAATCTGAGATGAAGTATATGCAATTGGGCTTTGAAGCCAAAATAGATATGGAAGAATTATCACCTATAAAAAAGGGCAGCATCATCCAAGGTTTCTTTCTCAATCAACTCGTGCTTATCAAAATTTAGTTCGAAAATTTCAAATTTAAATGTGACAACCTTCCCATCTGGCCAAATACCTTCCCAAATTTTATACCTTTTCACAATCAAAAATCCTTTCTCATTGGAATCCACAATATATGTCTTGTTAGCGTGGCATTGTGAACCAAACCCTCCCATAGGTGTCAAGCTTCCCCACTTTACTTCCAATTCACTTAGAGCATCCACAGTGGGGGGGGTGTATATGGGGGTGTATGTTAAATATACATCCCAAGTCACCAGAATCGTCTCCAATGGGGAGATGTAAATGGGTGTAAATATACATCACCACCATGGGGATGTAAAATAAAATGTATATTTACATCTATTTTTGCATCTCTTGCACATGGGACCCACTCGAGAAAAGAAGAGGAAAAGTGGAGAAAAGTCATCATAAAAGAGTGGGACTCGTTACTACAGTAATCGCTGGAAAAAAATTCACATGCGGAGCAATTTTGGGAATTTTTTGATGAAATCATATCTTCTCCGAATTTAAATATTTTTAGGTCTATTTGTTTGAAAAAATAAAATTAACCTAATACAAAAAAAAATAATTTGATAAAGTAAACACAAAATACAAATTTAACACAAAAACGAATTAAGACAATCAAATCAATTATACATCTTTAGATTTACATCGTTTCCCATTCGAGCAAAAAAACGTATTTACACCCTAGGAGGTGTAAAGGGGATGTAAAAGTGGCTTTACACCCCCGAAAATACACCCCCCCACTGTGGATGCTCTTATAATGTCAAAACGTACAATTGTATCCTGAGCATCAAAACTTAAAATTTCTATCATTATTATATACAGCATAAAATTTATCTCCAAGGTAAACAACTTCATGAAATCGTTGGAATTCCCAATCATCCTCAAAATCAAAATTAATATACGACCAATCTGTGTCTTTACTAGGTCTGATAACAACGAAATTAGAAAAGTGTCCATATATGATTGTAACAATAAAATCATGTGTATTTAAAATTGGGTCCGTTGAAATTGTAGCCTTATGCACATGATAATCCAGTTCTCCAAAGTCAAAAAGACGTGCTAGTGGAAAAGGCAAATAATTGAATTTTCTTTCTCTTTACATCCTTCAACCATAGAGAATAGATTCATTAAGGTCACGACGAAGTTCTCTTCCAGAGCTATTAGCCATCCTTTTGAAGAATCGCTTACTCGGAAGTCTTAATTGTAAATCAAGAACCTTATTATTCATGACATTGTATAAGTTCCATGTATCTTCTTTGTCACTAGAAATTAAGAGCATTGGAGCTGTGTGTCGACTTTGGCTCTGATTATTATTTGCTACACCATTCCATGTCTTACAAACAACACTAAATGCCAAATAGTCTGAAATCAATTCTAATCTCTCTAAAACTAGATCCAATAGTTCCTTAAGCAAATTTTCGAGTTTTTATAAAAAAATAGCCAAAATTTATCCCCCACTTTCAAAAATGTCAGTTTTTATAAGATTTTTCAAATATAGCAAAAAACGTGAATGCCCTTCAAATTAAAACCCACATAAACTTGAAACGAAAGATCATGTACAACAGGGGATGTTGAGTTTAAATATGCCAATAGAAAAAAAAAAAAAAAAAAAAAAAAAAAAAAAAAGTAAAAAAAAAAAAAAAAAAAAAAAAAAAAAAAAAAAAAAAAAAAAAAAAAAAAAAAAAAAAAAAAAAAAAAAAAAAAAAAAAAAAAAAAAAAAAAAACAAGTCCGAGGATCAACATCTACAAAGAGATCCCGTGCTGCTAAGGTCTGTACTTTAGCTTGAACTATAGCTTCACTGATAAAACAAGTTGTTCACCTTCCTTCTCGGTTGATATTATTTCTCTTGAAAATGGCTAAGTATTGAATCTGTCTGCAGAGACGTCGAGATAGGATAAATGAAAAGATATGATATCAAAGTATTGAATCTTAACCAAGCCACTGCCTATTAGTACCAGTAAACTTGCAGGGCTATACTATTTTTTTATAATAAAAAAATTAGAAAAATATCGAGTATCCCCAGCGGTTAGGCGCCATGTGTCAAAACAAGTTTATTTATAAAAGAAAAAAAAAAGAAGTATAAGCCATTTGGGCGTACAATTTTTTGTTTTTTTATTAAAAAGGACCATGTAGCGATTAGGCGTGACGTGTCAAAAACAAATATATCCGCCCGGCTATAGTATTTTTTAAAAAACAAAATTATAGTATAGCCAAACGGCTATACTATTTAATTAAAAAAGAAAGGACCTTTGAAGTTGCATTAATTTGTACTTTATAGATATTAATTTTCTAGTTTCAACATATGCAAAGTAGATATTAATCGGCCACTATATAACATATATTATTCTTAATCAGCCACTATAGCCTCTCATCTATACTATTTATTAAAGACAATTTAAATAAAATAAAAAATAAAAAATAAACTAGTAAAGCTGACCATCTATTATTTTCTTTCAAAAAATTAGGAAAAAATTGAGTATAGCCGCATGCGATACTATTTACTATTAAAAGAACAAGAACAGCTACCGACAGCTATACTTTCCTAAAAAACTAAAAATAAACTGAGGTATAGCCGAATAGCTATACTATTTTTTATATAAAAAGAGAGGACCCCATCAATTAGGCACCACGTATCAAAACAAATATATTTAAAAAAAATAAATTAATTAAAAACACGACTCATAACCGTGACCATCCAACGATTAGGAGCTGTGTGTCAAAAATAGTATAGCCACCCGATACCACTTTTTTTAAAAAAGAAATCATTGCACAGCAGCCCTTCTATACTATTTAACCAATAATCACACCACGTGATGGTGATGCAGGAAGCAAAACCCTAAGAACACAGAACGTGGATGTCACGTGTCAATGAGATCTTGTACTGAGAGGGGATACACTGTCCCTATTTTTCATGTCCTTTCGTGTCCCTTGTATAATTTGTTGACACATGTCCACCCACTTAACCCCAATAATAACATTGTTAACTTTCAATAAAATAAAAATTAAAAGAAATTAAATCCTAAACAAAAAATACAGCAGTCACAAAGTTCCCCACCCAAGGAGTCCAATTTATCCCTCAATATTCAGACTAAATAAAACAATAAAATCATCTAGTTCTAAATTAGTATAGTAAACAACGTATGATTCTCTCCCTGCCTTTCTCGTTGGATGGGTAAGAGAGCGTGTTAGGCCTAGTTTGGGATTGCTGTCACTTTTAAAAAAAGTTGCTTCTGCTGTGCTTTAAAAATAATTAGCTGTAAAGTAAAGCAGCTCAATGTTTGGTAAACATTATTTTTAAAGTGCTGTTAGTACAAAAAGCAGTGTTAAAACCATTTGGTAAATTTTAATATAAAATCGTTGTAACTGTGAATAATGACTAAAATAGACATGATGTTAAAAGTGTTATGCACTAATCATGTGGTGGTATTGGTAGTGATAGTGATGGAGTGGAGTTGGTGGTGGAGATGAAGGCGAAGTTGATGGTTGTGATGGTGGGGATGGCAGTTGTGGAGGTAGTGGTGGTGGTGGTGGTGGTAGTGGCAACATGGTGGTGGTGGTGGATGTGGAGGTTTTGGAGGAGGTGGTGATGGTAGTGGTGGAGGTGGAGGTGGTGGTGGTGGTGGTGGTGGTGGCAGCGGTGGTGGTGAATGAGGAGGAGGCGATGTTGGAGGTGGTGGTGGCGGAGGATGAGGAGGAGGAGGATGTGGTGGTTGTGGTCGTGGTGGTGGCGGTGGTTGTGAAGGTGGTAAATGTGGTGGTGCAAGTGGTGAAGTTGGATGTAAAAGTGGAGGTGGTGTCATTTTTTTAAAATGAATGATGATATTATGAGAATTAAAAAAATTCATTAAATGTTCATCTCTGCTTCTTTTGAAAGCAGCTTTGAAAAGTAACCTAGAGTCAGCTTTTAAAAGCTGCTGTCAAAAGGCCACTGCTTTTAAAATAATCGGGATATTTTAATTTTACCAAACACTTTAAATTGCTTAACTTTAAAGTTAAGCAGGTTTTTGGCCAAAAAAAGCAATCCCAAACGGGGCCTTAGAAGGGTGACAAGTTATTCTCTCCCTGACTCGACTGCCCCAAACCTCGCTGGTTCCAGCCCCCTCACCTAAGCCACACACAACCTCCACTTCTCGTCCACTACCACCACCTCCTCTTCTTCCCGATCTCCCCTCAAATTTAGGTTTCATAATTGGAAGGGTTTCAATTTTGATAAGTCTTTCAATTGGGTTTGTGGGATTCATGCACCCAAAATAAAGGCTTGAATCGATGATCAGATAATTTTATTGAATGAATTGAAGGGTCTTGAGGTAGTTTGCATTCTGAGGGAATTTCAAGGACGAGAAGAGTGCGGAGGGAGGAGGTCAGGGAAGGGGAAGAAGGATAAATTAGGTTTCCGGGATTGTGTACTAGTATATGGTTTTCCTTCGTGATCTTACAATTCGGTTTCTACATTCAATTGTATACTGATTTTCCAATTGGGTTTCTCAATTGAGAGTACTGGTACATGGTGATTTTGTGGCTGAGGGAGGAGGTCAGGGAAGGGGAAGAAGGGGAAGGGGCATGAAGGTCACGAGGGGTGGTTGCTGCTGCTATATGGTGTTGGTTTTTACTTTCTAAATTTTATTAACAGTGTTAATTCAGGGTTAAGTGGGTGGACATGTGTCAAACAATTAGATAGGGAACACAAGGGTACATGTAATTTGGGAAAAGAAGATCCGCTCCCTGTACCAAGTGCCGCACTTTAAAGTATTCACCAATAATCACAACACAAATAAAACTATGATCTAAAATCAGCATAGAAAGAAAACAATTAATGTTTAAGTCAACTTCCCACAGCCCATCACAAACATTAACACTTCATTGGGTAAAGTTCAAAAACATTAGAAAACCTAGTTAGAAAACAACCTAATCCTTGAACCTCTTGCCAACTTCTTGGATTCAGCAACAACAGTCCTCTTTGAACTTGTCCACGTCTTGCATCCATGCATTTTCAGACACTTGTTAACAGAATCAATATTGCGCACATCAAACTTCTTGAATAAATCCTTCAGCTCATCATCGAAATCCAATTGGTTGATTGGGTAGACTACACCCACAACTACATTAGATTGTAGTATAATGACTTCTTTGGAATGCACCAAATCCTGCACATACAAAGCAAATAATAAAAATTCGTACACAAAAAACATGAATAAATTATAGAATTTACTTACCTCCAAATCTGACAAAGAGACACATCCGGGACATTTTTAATCCAAGACAACAGTTCACTATGCCAAATTTTACTTTATACAACACCATATAAGCATTGACAAATCTGAAAACCAATGTTGTTAATATATTAGGCATCGGTTTTATAAATAATAAAACTAAAAGTATATAAAGACATCAGCACAAATTTTTTATTTTTCCTACCGATGTTGTTGATTATATTTAGCATCTATGATATAAATATACTGATGCATAAAATGGTTTTCCTAAAAAAAAAAGTAAGCGGAACATTTTAGCACGACGCCAAAAGCAAGATTGACCGCTACAGTGATTTTTCTCTAAAAATTTTGAAATTTTTTAGGTCCCTCGCAAATATTTCAGACTCCCTCCCGTATATTTTTTGCCAAAAATTAAACTCCCTCTCTTCTCTCTCTCGCGATACCCATAGTCAGATTCATTCTCTCATCCCTCTCACCTTCAGCATCTCTCTTCTTCATCGATTTCTTCTCTGTCCTCCATCTCTGCCGCCATCTTCTCCTAAACCCTAAAAGAGAGAGCCATAGGCATCCTCCTCCTCGTCAAGAAGAGCCATCAGAGTCCTTTCGTTAACCTTCGTCGTCGGCGCCCTCATTTCTCGTCGGCGTCGTCCTCCAGGTGAGATTATTTTAGTTAGGGTTTCAATTTATTGGGTAATTTCTCTAATCTTACTCTGTCTTCTGCTGGATCGTGTCTCTCGTTGGCTCATTAAATCTGCTTCTTCACATTTCATGGTCAAAGAAAAAGCAGATATCTGGGATTTGGGTTGACACAGAGATGGCCAAAAGATTGAGCTCGCAGCTCTTCGTCAGCAGTATTATCTCTTTC